CATTGTCCATACATCTTTGCATTGATTTCCTGAGTTTATCACATCCTCTAGGGGGGTCCGGGGGTATGCCCCTCCGGGAAGATTTTTTTGAACATTTTAAAGTAAAATGCTTCAATCTGGTGCACTTTGAGCACACAATTACTAGAGACTAGATCTAGGGGGTACAACTCTAAAACACCCATATGAAAAAGATCGGTTTACATTTTAATAATCAAATATGTGAACATAACCAATAACCTACCATAGCCAATAACAAATAAATGTAGGCCTAACTTAGGCCTATTTTATTTGTGTTGTTCATTCATATCTTATTTTACCTAGTTAACATTTATTTATTTATGTATATATTTTTATCTCTCCAGTTTTAAACGATATTTTTGGTTTACTGTCCTATAGTATACATAGAAATGATTTCAAACCTGTTTATCCCAATAATTATAAAGGAGTGCCTTGGAAATATTTGTTTACATAAATTGTTGTGATCAAAACGTTTGAGACCCACTGAGATAACTTAGACTAAAGTTAACTATCTAAACACTCAGAGTCCTTTACCTCAGCTTGTTTACTGCTCCATCATATTCTTTTTTTATCTTTTACTACTTACTGTACACTGAACAAGAAATCATATGCACATTGCCCCCCAAGTTTACGGATGCATGTACATTGTCCATACACCTTTGCATTGATTTCCAATGTACAATGTAATCTTTTACACTTTTTGGAATTTAAATAACACATTTTACTTGAATGCCCCCCTTTAACCTGAGCTAATGGAAATTATTTTTCTGTCTGTCTTTATGTTTTGTCCTACATAGGTCTGGGTTGCGGTCTGGTGTACGCAGCCACGCTGACCATCACCTGTCAATACTTCGACAAGAGACGCGGCCTTGCCCTCGGCATTGTCACCACAGGTACTTCTGCCCCCCCCCTGCCCTGCGCTCACTGGATGCACACCACTTCTCCATGCTCACTTCTTTCATGTATGAGCTGCTGGGAGCCTTGGGATGCTGAGGTAAACATCTGTAGTGCAGCACTGGTGACCAGTGCCTATATCTGGATTGGTTTGGAATCAAAACTTGGATGTTAATGGTTTGGGAAGGTTGACATATATTTTGAAGCTATGGGAGAGTTTAATCAGTCCATTATTATTTCAAAACTATTGAGCAATCTCACAGTCTTAATATGATGTGTCAGTGTACTCAAGGGTGTGTCAGTACACTGTGATATCACTGTTGGGTGGTGTTAACGGTGAAACAGAGCCCTCTACTTAAAGATATAATAATTAATAATTTAAGAATAATTATAGAATAATTAAAGATTTTTACAGTTTTCTTGCTTTTGGACTAGTCAACATTTATATTTTGACTAGTCATTAGAAAGCTGTGGGCAGACATTTTGTTCATCCTTATTTAGTTCAGTTTCCATGTTATTAAAGTCATTAGGTCGGATCATAGTATTTCTGGCTTTTGCGCCCCCAAGTGGCTGTGTCAAAAAAAGGTTACAATCTGGGAATTTTTGTACCAGTTTGTTATAAAGATGTCAAATATTTCTACAGAAAGAAATATGTATGCCGTTGTGTTTAAAATGTGTTGGATTATATTAAGAAATGTAAGATTCTATACATAGTGGCTTCATTTTTTACAGATTAATATGTCTCTTTCTAACAAAAATATACATTTTCTATCTTTCTCTTCTCACCAGGCACAAGTGTTGGAGCGTTCATATATGCCTCCGCTCAGAACGAGCTGATCGTGATGTACGGCCTGGATGGCTGCTTGTTGATCATCGGAGCCGTAGCACTAAACCTCATGGCCTGCGCTGGGTTCATGAGGCCCCTCAACATGCCAGGGTACTACCTCAAACAGAAGGCCGCCCTGGAACGCAACACAGAGGAGCAACTTTTCGAGAAGCCCCGACTGGATGACCTGACAATCACAGCAGGTTCAACCTCAACCACTCCAGATAAATCTCTGATGGTGAAGGAGATGCTTATCACTATTGATACCAAAGACTCAGCCGTTCAGACAGAGAAGAAGAAAGGCAGCTTCCTGGCTGGGTTGGCCATCATTAAAGTCATCAAGAAGAAGCAGCAGGCTTATTCCAAGTACATGCACTCCATGTATGAGATCATGCAGGACCAATCGATGATGTCCTTCTGCATTGGCATCTTCCTGTTCAGTCTGGGGGCTTTCCCTCCTGTGCTCTTTATAGAGGATGTGGCGATGAGCCAAGGGCTCATGGAAGAAGTTAGTTTCATTCCTTTGGTATCAATAGGGGCTATCGCCTCTTGTGCTGGTAAACTACTGCTGGGTATGCTGGTGGACATCAAGTGGATTAATGGCATCTTTCTGTATGCCTTCACCATGTTTGCTGGAGGTTTGGCACTGTTCCTTATCCCTCTCACTAAGAGTTATCTGGGACTTCAGATCCTGACCTTCGTTCTGGGTTTCTTCTCTGGAAACTGGTCTCTCACCTCTTACATTACCACTAAGATCGTTGGCTTGGACAAACTGACTCAAGCCCACGGCATCCTCATGTTCTTCGGGGGCTTTGGGATCATGTTGGGACCCCCTGTTGTAGGTAGGAAGGCTATCTACATTTGCAATTTTATTGGTTGGATAGAGGTCTGTAGATATTTGTATTCTGTTAAAAAAAACTAACATTGTGCCATGTTTTAAGAGACAATCAAAAAAACAAATTTTGAATCAGAAAGGCAGAACAAGTAGAAGGGCTTGTTGACTTCAATAGAGCCAGCTTGTCTTAATATAGCTGACTGCTGTACTGTATGTGCTGAGAATTCCTGCTGACTCTGCTCACAATGTCTGTTTCTTCTCATCACTTTCCAGGGTGGTTCTTTGACTGGACGCAGTCATATGACTTGGCGTTCTACTTCAGTGGGGGCTGTGTGGAGCTGGGAGCGGTAATTCTCCTTCTGCTAAACCTGCCCTGCTGGAAAAGGAAGTCCGCCAAGTCCTCTGAGAGTGACAGACCAGACGTCCAGTACACCAGCAACTGTGACAAAGTTGCCTCTGTAGCCTGAGTTTAAACACCTTTCATAAAGACTCATATCTCACACCTACTGCCCAGCAATTGTCCGCTGATACCCAAACCTTCTCTGGGAGGACTTCATTTCTTTGACTTTGCAGGTGTCCTCCTTACCTTTGCTGCCAGGTTCTAATATACCAAAATACTTGCCAGAGCTTTTGAAATACAGGCCTTTCTTCTGTACGTTGCCTGCATTTCTCAGGTTCAAACAATACTGCAGATCTTTTTATAGGTTTGACTGTAATACCTGTGTTGACTTTAATTAGTGCCTCATTTTACGAGGTGAACTGAACAATGTTGTTCAACTCCCAAATTTTGCATTGTGTTTACGTAAACACTTATTTTCTCTTCGCTGTAGCTCTTAAAAATAGACATATTTTGCCAAAAACATTGTTGGTTGTTAATTTAACACAATGAGAACATTTCAAACCACTCTGAAACTGCACAAATAATTCTCCCAGGAATCTCACTGGAACAGAAAATATACAGGGATTGATGAGAGAGGGAGCGCTTTTTGATAATCATCATTTTAGCAACACATTTTTATGGTTTTAATATACTTCATATCTTAAGTAGACCACTATGTAACTTTGCAAAGCATCAATGATAGTCAATGCCTGTCAACACATAATGCCTGTTGGAACAATTCAAAAGCCTTGCTTTATAAATATTATTTTGAGTTCCACATACCTCGTGTTTCTAGGAATGAGACTTTTTGAAAAAGTTATGCTGATTCAAAAACATGTAAAGACAATGAAGAGATCCTACTGTATTTCCAACCTTAACAGCATGCTGCTCTTTGTGGCATGATTATCATGACATCTGCTGGCGATTCATTTTGACCAGGCTGATCCTTTCCCATTTCCCATTATTGTTGTGAGTGCTATATGTTTACGTGTGCATTGTGTGTGTACCTGTCTGCACACGCATGGTCACATACGTGCACAGGTTTGTATGTGTGTGCTATGGATTGTTTGATACACTTTTATATTAGCAATAGTTTGTAAAGTCCTATGTGCTATTGCATTTTATATATGCACAAAACAGGCCATAGAGCTGTAAAACGTTGGAAGATGATTATTGTGGTAATAATTGTAATGAAGACATTGCAATAGGCTTTTAGAATCACTTGAATGTTGCTAAATACACCACTACAAATGTATTTTTGATAGTTCCGGTTTCAGGCACAAGGGTAAATCTGGGACGATAGCTTTTTGTGATGTAGAGAGTATTTACAAGGTGCAGATAAGGTAGAAATAGTACTGAACTAGAGGAGACACCCAGCCATTCTTATTTTGTATGCCAGTATTACAATATTCATGTATATTATTGTTTTATTATTTCATTTTATTTAAAAAAAAAAAATTGCCAATAAGATATTTGCATTTAAAACTGTCAAGTGTGTGACATACCTATTAGGTGTTTGCCTAATTTAAAAAATAAATCTGTTTTTATTGTTTGTTAAATTCTTAATTCATTCCGCTTTTAAAAAAATAATTTGTTCACTTCTTTTTTATAATATTAACATAATAAAAAGTGTTCTTATTTATAGTATTCATATTTAAATGATAACCTTTTTTACAGTAGGCCTACTCCCTTTTTATCATTTCCGTTTCCATTATTTGTATTATGTTTTTTAGATCACAACAAAAGTGTATCAAGACATATATTTTTAAAATGTGGCACTTGTTATGCAGGGGCACACTTCTGACAAATCTCCCATGAAAACGTGAAAAAAAACATGTCGTCCTTCCGCTTCCACTTTACCTCCTCTAACAGGAAAACTACACACTGCTCCCGGGGGAATCAGCTTTCATACAAAGTCAGTCGACCATTTTCATCCTCATGAGCTGTTTCTCCTTCTCCTGGCAACCCTATCACCGGTCCCCATGGTTACTCGTCACGTGACTAGCAACATACACAATTTCCAAGGGAGCTAACATTACGGTAGGAAGTAAGCTAGCCCAACCATTTTACTAACAGCATGTATTACTTATTGCAAGCCTAGCGTTTGGATGTGAGAACGATGGGTCGTTGTTGGCTGGACTTCCCGGGGGTTTCTGAGAGTGGAGCATTATGTCGCAGAGGGAGAAATACGTCTACATTTGAGATATGGAGAGTAGTCCCGGTGCGGTGAGCTGAAAAATGGGAGCAAGCGCTTCTGTGTCTCTCTGTGTAAGTTTAGCAACACTAGCTGCTGTCTTATAACATGTCTCCGTGTTTTCCAGTTGATTTTCCAATTGATTACACCTTGTGTAGAGCAGTTGTACTTGTTAATATAAGTATTAAGAGCAGACTACCTTCTTAGCAGTTTCATTTTCATGAAATACCACACAGAAAGACAGCTGTTGTTGTGAAATGTATCTAATGGATATAACTTTATTCAGTGGTGTTTACTCAAGTACTGTACTTGGGCTACATTTTGAGAGACTTGTACTTTTCTTGAGTGTTTCAATGTTTTGCTACTTTGTACCCTACTACAATTCAGAGGTAAATCGTGTACTTTTACTCCACTACATTTAGTAAGTCCCTTTTAGTTACTTTGCAGATTTTATTAATGTGAAATATAAACCACACTAAATGTAGACTTAGTTACACCTGGATTGAATTCACAAACTACCTTACAGTCTACAAAGTGATTAAAACTAGCCAGCTTTCATAAACAAATGAATGCATCAATAATTATAATCAAAACATATAATATATATATTGTTCTGAAATAGGACATTCTGCATTCTTTGTACTTTTACTCGAGTAACGTTTTGATTGCAGGACTTTTGTAACATAGTATTCCTACACTCTGGTACTTCTACTTAGTACAAGATCTGATATTTAAATGTTTGGACTTGACGACTTCAATATCAAGAATAAAGATATTAAGATGTCGATATCAAGAAATATGCCATTGTGTCTTCACTGAGTGTATTATTGTATTGATAATCAGCAAGCGTTTTCACATTTATGTGGACACTTTGTTCCAACGTTCCCCAGCTAATTTAACCTCTTAATATGACATGTTAAAGCAGACCAAAATGCTTCTGTATTTTTTCCTAGGTCATATATTCAATGTATGTCTCCCTTGAAATGATCCACTATATCTTATAGCCTATTGAAGTTGTACTCCTTAAAACCTACATAATCAACTCTACAGGCAAGACAGTTTTCATGACTTTAGACATTCATATCTACACAGCAGCTGAATGCATACTTAACCATTCAAACTGCATTTGTCTTTGTTCTTTTGCAACTTGAGATGCATACTGTATATAGCCCATTATATATCTTACTTACAATAAGGACCCTGGGAACATATGAATGACCCCCTTAAAATGTAAGACACGCTGGAGATGAAAAACTCACTACTTTTCTAACACCTCTGTCTATTCAGTATTGTTTCTGTATATAAATCAGCTGTTGCATGTATGTCCTCTTTCCATGCAGAGCGACCCGTCCTCAGTGAGCATCCTGAGGCCCAGTGCTAAGGTCAGCCCGGAGCCCCCTGCCCTCACCCTGGTCTCAAAGCCTGAACTGTCCGCAAGGTGTGTGTTTGCCGTTGCCTTAGAAACACTGCGAGAGGACGGGCAGATGGTCGATGGAATACCCGTTGTCCTAAGAGACATGGTGGAGTTCCTGGATAATAATGGTAATTGAGGCTCATTCTTGCATGAGTCCTATGCTATTCTTAAAGTCCCTTTTTAGCACATCCCTTCTCCCTTCATATTCTTCATCATTATCTTGGTCTCTCAAGGAAAACAATACTCAAACATCACCTGTGTGTGTACTTGGTTTTGACCTCAGGACTGCACCACAGAGGGCTGTTCCGCCTGTGTGGGTCTGCGGTGCGGACCAGGCAGCTGAGGCAGCGCTCAGACTGTGGGGAGAGGGTGGACATGGAGCACGAGGGAGACGTCCCCACCGTGGCGTCGCTCCTCAAACTCTTCCTCAGGGAGCTGCCAATCGCCATAGTTCCTGAACCCCAGCGCAAACAGCTGGTTCTGAGCCTCAAAGGTATTTATTTGATTTGATTTAGGAAAGGTCAAAAAGGCACAGCCTTAAACAATGGGCTTCTCTAGTACTTAAGATAAAAAAAAAAAAATAATAAGTTATGAAAACCAAGTTAACATAAATTTAAATGATTAAACAAAATATAAATGACAGCAACAAACACACAAAATGAGCAAAATAAAGTTAACCAATTAATCAGTGAAATAATTGCTATACAAACAGTTTATCTCCTGGTTTGAAGATAGTCTAAACTCTGATGATTGTGTCTTGAAGCACTAGATTAAAAGTAAAATATTTAAAGCCAGAAGGAGAATTTGTAGGATGGTTGTTGTTCTTAATCCAATTTTTGGCAGACTCTGTATTTCTTGGAAGGCTTTCATGTTTCCAACACTTCATCTTTAAAACAAATCCTTGCAAAGAAGTAGAAGTGTAAACAGCAGAGTTAAGAGGTCTACATAGTCTGGTAAATTCTTCAGTAGAAGTTCATATCTGGACCAAAAGTGCTAGTATGTATGTCCGGTATGTGTACATACCAACTTTCTGAGTCTGGTTATAAACTGTATATCCATACATGCGGAATTCAGTTTAATTAATGTTGTTGTGATGTGTTTGTCTATTTTTAAGGATATGCAAATGAGGCAGAGATTAACCGGTCTCTGAGAGAAAACATTTGCCACCTGCCTGATGACAACCTCACTATTTTGTCTTACCTCATCCACTTCCTGTCCAGAGTGGCCGCTCACAGAGAATATAATCACATGCCTGTGGAAAATCTGGCAACAATCTTCGGGCCTTGCATATTTCAGTAAGTTGATGTTGTTACGGCCACATTTTAAGACCTGAACTTGGACACAATGTCCCTCTAATCAAATCAGTACGCACTGTGTTTACTCTGACATTAAGCTTAAAACCGTTTTTAGACTTTTCAAAATATTGCTTTTCCCACAGTTTTGAAGAAAGATACAGCTGGATTTCTCTAAAAGTGTAATCAAGAACAATGTAAAGGTCAGCAAATGAGAGTGCAGATGTTTCCTGCACAATCAATGGTTATGGTTGTTTGTCGTAGTAAAATACAGATGTAGAGGAAAAACCCACTTTGTTAGTTTCTCATGAAATCAACCAACCCAGTTCTGGTCCCATTTAATTTTTTCTGCACCACTAGAAAAAAACTTTGGGTGGATTCACGTTTGTCCCTAAAGGAAATGGGTGTGGATGCAGTTGATGGCACACAAAAATCCGACTGATTATAAAAGATGTCATCAGGATTTTATCTCCAGCTTCTCCCCCTCCTGTTTACAGAACATAGCCATCATTGTAAACAACCACAATCTCTAGGGAGACACAATCGACAATTCGATTTGTATGGTTGGAAAGGACATATCCTACGTAGTCAACACCCATTCAACTGCCCCCATCTCTTGATCTCCCAGTCTATCTATGTCTGCTCTGTTCCAGAAGTGAACAGCATGTCAGTGGAATGTGGTGTTAGTCACACCATACAATTCTGCATTTGAAGGGAAAAAAATGTGATTATAGCTAAGGGGAAGAAAGAGTTGGCATTAGATGCTTGGAAAAAGTTAGGGTCTAGCAGCAGAGAGTTGGAGACTGTCCTTTGCATTTCTTTCTGGATTTACATTCACATCTCACATAGAAAGATAATAATAGTGTAATGGTTTAGTAAAAATTGGGGTAATAATGGCAGATACATGCTGCAAAATAATGTAAACACCACTTTAACGTAACCCACTTATTTTTCTGTTGCTTTTTCCAAGATTGAAATGATATTGCCATCAATCCCACATAAATGACTTGGTGTGACAGACAGTGTAGCACATGTTCATGCCATGCAGCATATGTGACATCTTATTTGGCCCCCACCCAATAACTCATGCATGTTTGTCAACCAAGACTCCCAACAGCTTGTTCCCCATTATGTAATCCATGTGGAACACTTCTCCTGTCATCCCTGTGACCCGTCTGCCATGTAAACACACATCTATTAATACTCACATGTTTCACATGCTCTTCCCTGGATGTATGCTTTGTTAACCTTTACCTAACATGCAAACATCATAAACATCTTAAATATAAAGTGGATGATCTCAACCAAAGCATGTTCATCTAAATAAATAGCTGCTTCCAGGTAAACATGTGGAGACTATTTAAGGTGGCGCTTATCTCTGTATCGTAAATATTATAACCAGAAGCTGCACATATCTCTGAAATTTGAAAGTTGTCATCGTCACAGTGAAATTATACAATCGTTTACAGCGTGACTTTTTTATTTTGGTTAGTGGGTGATCGGTGATGGACTTTCCCGAGTGTAGGACTTTGATTTACCTCATACTGTCTGAGCAGTTTATCTCAGTTCACTGCTGCCTCCTTCCACTAGGTGGAGCCCTTTCCATTGTGTTTTTTGCACTACATAGTACTGTATGTGTAACATTGTGATTGTGTCTTTTTTTTTATGCAGTGTTCCTGCAGGACCCAGGATGCTGGACGATCAGAATGTGTGTAATGCCCTGTTGCACCATCTCCTGAGGCACCACCAGGATCTATTTCCAATCCCAGCCGAGGACACAGTGGCCTCCTCCATTTCCTCCTGCTCCCCCCCTCCTCCTCCCCTATCCGCCCTTCCACACTTTGAGGTGAACCATGTTTTTTTTTCTATCTTTCATCAAAAATGGTTTCTCACTGATCAATTGTTGTCATCTGTCTTGTTACACTTTGTGATTTTATTGCAAAAAATAATCAACAAGCCCACAGCCTTTATCAACAACATAACTATCTCATCTGTGCACAGTCTATGACATTTATAAAGGTCTTAAAATTGTTGTTTGTCGTAACTAAGATTATTCATAGATATATTTTCATATAAGGTTGCAGGCTTTTGGGAGATAACACAGTGGGCTTATAATAATAATAATAATAACACGTGGGAGTTTTATAGGGTGTTAATGATATATACAGCAGGTAAGTACTGACAAACTATGGTGTAAATATCAGTAATTTCATACTCTTTATAAATAATGATTGGCCTTAGTCCAGTATAACCATGAAAACTGTATTACATTGTAGTCCCTGACCTTGAGGTTTTGTTGCCTCTATAGAGATGTGAGTATTGACCCTTTTTATCCTTGGTAGCTCCAATCCAGCAGCTGTCACTCAGAGCAGAGCAGTGTGCAGAGGCCGGAGGGAGAGACCGCTTCACTGTCAGCGACCAGTGCTGTTAACCAAACAACACAGAGGTGTTTCCAACTCAACAGGTACCATCATTTAGCATCAGTGACTTTGTAACTGCATAGATATACAGATATGAATTACTAATGTTCATGCAACTGAGCCTTAGACACAGTTAATGTATCACTGAACATTCATGTGGTGTGAATATAAACAATCCTTTCCCTTCAGATATATTCTACTGCGAGAATAATTAGGAGTTTTTCCCCTGTAGCATTTCCCTCCAGCATCGTTTAGCCAGTTGTCAGATTGATGGTTCTATCACTGAGACTAAACATCACTCACAGTGAATTAGGGCCAACTTCTGGAGGTTTTTTTCACTCATGGAAGTCAAAAAAGATGTCCAACTGTGTCACAAACCCTCGGCAGAAACACATCCAGTATCTGTAGTCAACAGAAACAAGTGCAGTTGCCTGTAAAGATGACTAATGTAGAAACTAACATCACATTGTTTTTAATTGAAGATGGGTGGAAGAATTGCTTCCCCAACTAATCGACATACTAGCTGACATCTGCTTGTGGGGAACGTTTCCAACTCATAATGAACTCGGAGGCCAAGGTGCTATTTTCTATTTTTAAATCCTGAAGGGTTGCCACAAGGTTGCATCAGATCAGATGTCATTAATATATTTTCTTTTTTCGTCCACCCCTAAACAGCATGTGACATGGCCTTGCACTTGCTGATTAATTGTGTGGCTGTCTACCATGTATGTGGGTACAGTTGTGTGTCTGGTGTCTTAATGTGTTGATGGGAATTCTGCCTGAAGCTAATGGAGATAAAGACACTTCACCACATGCTCTGTGGTATTGGTTACATTTGTTATGAAACAGATCTGCCATCGGTGGAATTCAGGTAATTAAGACAGTAAGTGAAAACAAACAAGCATGAGGAATTGCTAATAAAATCCTTGTGAACTACCGGCAACATTTGATATGAGGGTTTACGAAGATATGGCACATCACGGCAGCCAGATTTAAGACTGATCAGGCTGTATTTTAAAATACTCACACGTCTCAGTTTAAAGAGCACAGGTTCAACAGGTTGCATAACATTAGCAATGTGCATGTCCAGGTTTTGCATAACAGAAAAAAGACGGACACTTCTTTCCACAGCTCACGTTGATGCACTCCAGCTGCCCACCTGCCAAATGGCTGTTTTTTCTCTCCGTTTTAAAATCAGTCACATGTCAAGCTTCAAGGAAAAGTTCTGCCATGCCTGTTCTCATCACTTCTAAGTGTTTGTGTTTTTAACACTCACAGAGCAAACAAATATCAATCATTTTTCATTTAACAGCTTCCCACTCTCATCTGTTAGCAGGCAGAAGATGCTGCCTCCTCCCAACTGTCTATCTTTCTAGATAATAGAAAATATATTGTCTGAAATCTAAGGCACGCAACTTTGCCACTTTCACAATCAGAGCAAGATTAAATAACTATAAAACGTTGGATGATTGGATTATTAAATTATGTCTTTAAATTCAAGACCAGCAGCGAAAGACAGAGGTAGCCATATTCCTCATGGTTCCTTTGTTAACAATGTTAGCCTTTGGCTAAATTTGGCATTAACAAATACAAATTGGCCCTTTTTTGGTATTTGCTTCTGCACATGTCGGATTGGGTTTTGTCACTGGGATGTTGGTCTTTCCCCGAAAAGGCACATGCATGCTTTTGGGTCTGGTCAAGTCTAGACCTCTATGCTGACGTCTGGCACTAACGTCACAGGCCAATATTGATTAGAGTCTAATTATACCTACAGAGGGTTTGATTTCAAAACAGGTATCTGTTTTCTGTGTCTTACCAGTCACACAAGATCTAGTTCTGAGAAAAATGTCAGAGGGATTTATGGCGCGTTTCCACTACAGCCCGCAGCCCGGTTTAAGAGGGCTGTGACGTCAGCGGCCCGTCTTTGGTTGCGTTTCCACTTGGCCTAGTACCGGCCGGCGGGTCCTAATTCACAGTTTTTCTGGCCTCATAAAATCGTGGGGCCAGGGCCAGAGGCAACGAGGCTGAGTCGGGCTGAGTATGCTAAACTAGAGAGAGCGTCGCTGGCAAGGGGGCAACAACTACAACAAGATGGACATATTTGACCGTGATTTAATTGTAATACACGTTTCAAAATGATGCCGAAGTAACAACATACTGATACCGGTTAGTAAAAACCATGAATTAATGCTTTGTCAAGTCTGCAGACAGACGGCAGGGGAAAAACCTTTTAAAATGCTTGTTTTCTAAATGGAGATTGGCTAAGCTAACGCAGTATATGCCCCGACCGTCCACACTCACAACAACGGCCTATACAGACATAAATAAAGAAGCGACTGTATTCACCATGACACAGGCAGTCTGTGGTTTGTACTTGTTTAACTGTTGTCTAGTTTCTGAACATATATGAGGAGCTGTGAGCTCTGAGTGCTAACAGCTAACGGCTGTGTTGTTTTTCTGGGGTCCTCTGAAGATCACGTCACGGCTCCGCCTACACTGCGTTACTATAGATACTGCCCCAGTTCCTAAACTGTAATGGAAATGCGCCATAAAGTGAGCCAGTCCTAACGAGGCCCAGCCATACCGAGCGGGGCCGAGCGAGGCCTGTAGTGGAAACGCGATAGTAAGCTACTTTTCATCAATAGTAATATACAGCAAATGTCAAGACATATATGTTAAATAATGGGGTCTGTTGGTTGATACACATGAGTAATTATTGTTTTTTTAAACCAGTGTTGACATCAGGAGTTAATGCTAATATCAGTCAGCATTTATACTGATGTGTTTGAGTGTGATATTAGGGCTATTCAATTAGTTTTAGTGATGTGTCGGTCACGAACGAGCCGATTCTTTTGAACGGCTCTTTGGTACGAACGAGGGGAACCGAGTCGTACTTGGTGAGAGCTTTCTTGTTATCGTTCAATCGTTGGTCCGCACTCACTGCCTGCCAAAATCCACTCGCCTTTTAAAAAGCTTGATTTTGTTCCCCAAACGTATTCTGTGAAGACCCGCCCCTACTCTGATTGGTAGGTTTCAGCACGAGGAGTGAGATGGGGTGTGTTATAACGGAATACGAGAGAGAGAAGTCATAACAAGTAGTACAGGACAGGTAGACGACGTGTTTTTCGGATTGAAAATGAGCCAAACGCGAAAACGCAGCAGCATTTGGATGCACTTCAACCAAAACCCAGGCAGTGATAAAGCGCACCATTTGTAAAGGCAAAATATCCTTTAAAGCAGGGTCAACAAATAATCTCCATCGCCACTTCAAAACACAGTAGGCCTATCTAATATTAAGAGTTGCGTGAATTTCATTCAAGGCAAGGCAACTTTATTTACTTAACACATACAGAGGGTAAATTCAAAGTAGTACATTCACTGACATGAATGACATGAATATGGCGCCACCTTGTGTCATGTTTACAATGCAGATTATTGACATTAGGTTTGGCAATACAGTCAATCATTATCCTGGTGATTACTTTGCAGATAAACCTAGTAACCCCGTAAAAAAACCGGCTCTTTTGAACGGCTCTTTGAAAGGAACGGAGCCATAAGATCCGGCTCCCTTCAAAGAGCCATCATTCCCATCACTAATTAGTTTGGAATGGGGGCTGGTTGATGAAAAAAAAAATCGTTAAAAAAAATCTTAAATAAAATAAATTTGATTACTATTTAACATTATACTCAAAGGGCCAGTAAATATCACCCCGAGGCCGGATTTGGCCCGCGGGCCGCCAATTGAATAGCCCTGCTGTATTGTATTGATTTGTATATATTTAAGTGCTGTTTTATGCGAGCACATATGTGTATGTTAGCATTTGAGTTGGAACTGTGTGTAATGGTGTATGTGTGTGAAGTTGTGACATATGAGTGAGTGTGTGCACCGGTAATTGAAGGGGGGGGTGAGCTCTCCGCCCCAGGGTGACACTTGTGTGTTGTTGACCATCAAGAAGTCATCCTCTTTTCTTTATTTTCTTTTTACCTTTGGATTGATCTGTCCTCTGAAGGCTGCAAGCTGTCCACGGTCGTGTGTAAATCTGTATGCTACACCGCTGTGAGTTTAGATGTTTTGGCGAAGGATGTTTTCTTGTTGCGTCAGTGATAACAACCAAAGGGCTGCAACCCTCCACAAGTGAGTGAGATAAAGCACGTCTAAGACTCAATGTAGCTGCTTAATGTCAATAATGCATACAACTATTCCTAGCATGCTGTCATCTACACATAAATACATCTGCTGTTTGAGAAGCAGAGGCTAAAGTGTGCATCTAACATATCAACAGTGTTAACATTAGATTTACCGTCTGCAGTTGTTTTTAAACCTTTATTTTTATTTAGGCTTTTTTAGGAGGGAGCTTGTTTGAGGAAGTTTGCCTTGCAGCAGAAAAGTAATTTATGTTCATAATGCTGTTTGCCCTAAAGGCAGCATTGGGCTGGTGACCCGTGTGCTGCAGGTTGCAGATCTGGAGTCATACAGCGCTTTGAGCAGGAACGTGACCGGGTTGTTTTTGGTTCATGTCGCAGCAAATCGCTCGTGCTTGTTATTGCTTGGAGCATCTCATCCGAACTTCCTGTGTCATAGTGTAGCTTCAGATTAAACGCTGCTGATTCGTGACCTGCTGAATGTTACCTGGCGCGGAGGCCAGCAGTTTATTCTGGGTTTCATTGTTGGACATCTACTCCTGTTAGTCCTGAGATATGCAGACTGATACACATTTCCAATTTACATTTGCCTTGAAGTCAATTGATAAAGTTGTGTGAATTACTCGGAGGCCCCTATAACGGGTTGTACCAACATTTTATTCATATTATTTTTCTTGACACTGATCAATCTATAAAGGATCTTGTGATTTATGAACTGTTCATATGTTATGATATATATAACTTATTAAGCCTTTAAAAAAGCATGCCTCATTAGAAACTGATACTTCCTTGTCTCCTCACCTGCTCCTGTTTGTGCACACCTCTCTCTATTTCTGTCTCTCCTCAGTCCTGACACACAGGCTTGTGAAACCAGCTCTGACGTCAGCGCTGACCTTCAGAAGCTGATTCCAGACCAGCAGCCTCTGGAGGAGAGCAGTGACAGCACAGAGGCGGGCTGGGTGATCTCCTCCCCCTCTGACCCCGGGCCAGAGCAACACCCTCACCAGAGCAGACCACCCAGAAGCCTCCAGAAGTATACCACCCAACGGTAGGCTCTTTTCTTTTGTCACACACAAGTGATGTGGTCACTTTTTAATGATGTAACAAGGGGACCAAAGTGTTGCAAGTGTTTACTACATTTTAAGTAGATAAGAAGCATTTGCTGACTTACTTCATCCTCAAACATTTTGGAACAGGAATTGTGTGACACGTCTAGTTTATTGAGTGTTTCTTTATCAACAGGACCTCTTCACAGTACACAGTGCCACTACCGAATGAGAGCGAGGGGGAGGAGGATGAAGAGGTAGAGAATGAAAGCACATTTTTTCCTCACCTTAGTTTTTCTTCTCTTTACTTTCAAATATTTCTTAATTCCTACTTTCTCCCCATTTCCCTCTCAAAAGCCAAATATAATTCAGCAATAACAGTTATCTTTCAAATGTATTATATAACCTATAAACATTTGGTCCACCTTTTTTGTACAGCAAAATACATCTTATGCAGTGTTTAGCACGATTTCACCTCAACATGAAAGGTTCTTTATCATGGACTGAATTGTTTTTCAGGCTCCCACCGATGCGGTGCAGAAATCTTCTATTTCAGACCGCTGCACAGCCTCTGAATCACAGAGCATCACACCGACTCTCTGCACACAGAGGTGAGAGGAACATTACTGCAGGAAGACTACACACCATGACATGTTGCGGCAGTCCTGATTTCCTCTATTGTTTTAGAGCAGCCATCTTTTGCTCATTGGTCTTGGCAGATAACATCCAAGTGGAATAAGAATCCATCATTTAACCCTTTTTAAATCAGCCTGTTAAAGGTGGGGTAGGTAATTCACTTCAGAAACACTTTTTGTTATATTCCATGGAATGCTCTTAACATCCCGATAGCAATGAATACATTAAATGCTTTGACAATAAATACATAAAGAAAATTCATCTGTGGAAGCCGTAGCGCTGTAAAAAGCACGACCAATCATCTGAGCCGGCCCGGCTAAAATAACTGGATGGCCTACCTGCCTGTCAGCCTTCCATCTGTGCACAAACTTATCTCGTGCCCTCATTGGTCATGTGCGCGTTCGTGTGTGTTGGAGGAGGGGCTCTGTAAGGAAGTCTGCAGAAAGAGGCAGATTTTTTCCGGTTGTGTACTTTCAAATTCTAGCGCACTCAAGCTGGTTTCTCCATTCTTACCTACCCTACCTTTAAAACTTAATATGAAAACACAATCTCAAGTCAAAGAAAAGTATCTAAATAAAAGGGGCCATGATAGTATTTTGGAGCTGTTTAAATGTATCTAAATGAGTATTATCTGATTCCTTTGGATGCTCCGTGGTTCCTCTCAGTTCAGCTCATCTCTCAGCTGCAGTCGGTTGAGAAGTAGGTTGTCAGAGCCGAGTGCTGCTCACAGTCATGGTTTTGATATATAAATAACACTGCCTTGCCACAGGGGCTCACATGGAGCAGACTAAGTAGCCAGATTAGGTCGACCCAAAACTGGCATGGTGACTTTTTGTTGTGCTGCCTCACCGTGCCACAGGACAGGTCCTCTAAATTATGCCTCATTAGTGTCAGACGTGAATAAGCCTAACCTTAATGGCTCTGCCAGATGACCGTCTGCCTCAGAGCTACACAAAGCGCTGGGCTGCCTTAGAGCACATTTCATGCAGTATTGTATATGAATACTGACAGAGATAATCGGCAATAAAATCACATGGGTTGTGAAGCAGTGTTTATTTTCACATTCTCTTTTTAAACTAGTTATTAATACAATTACATTTTTCAATCAGTTGCTGACACTTCTTTATTTTTCAGGATGCTGTTCTGCGAAGAGCACAAAGCAGGATCCAAAACCGCTGAATCTAAGAAGGTAAACAGACTTTTTGAAACTGCCATCTCAGAGAACATTTCCACAGGCTCCCATTAAGTGAATTCATTTGAAAATGACCCGGTCTGAGAGTTTGTAGCCTTGGGCTTGCAAGCCAGAAAGATCTAATGCACTAATGTACATTTAAAAAAAAAAAAAACTCACTGAGAAAGAGCATTAGTTTTGTCAGTTCTCTTAAGATACTGGATAACAAATAAAGTGATATGAATGCTTAGTTCATATCTGAGCACAGACAGTGTAAAGGGAATATTTGATATGGTATATTGTTGTATGACTTACATAAATCAGGGTTACCAGATTAACCCATGATAACATTATAAATTGAGTTTATTAAAATACACCCTGGAGGGTCACAGAGAGATTGCTGTCCCACCTTTACAAATGACTTGCATACAAAACAAGTGAAATGTGAAAGTCTGTTGGTCTTTAGTGACTTTAGTTAAAGAAACTCGTTTTAAATTTCATTGGAGAAAAATAACCTCAATCTGTTAAATAGTTAGGGAATAATTTGCTTAGGTATTCAACCTTCGACACAGTTCATCATTTTCTCCTCTCACTGTCTCCTTTCCCATGGCATAGGTCTACGGCCTTGGGTATTGCTGCTATCTCTCTTAAGGAGGGGCAGCTTGGGCGCATTGTTGTTGCCAGTCTATGACCGAGCACAAGCCGCCATGAGGCAGTTTACTGTTCAGGGACGTAGGTTCCCTGGCGCACATTCTTTCTTATGGACGAGAGCTCTAGTTAGATTCAGGGTCCATAATTGTTTAGTCTCACTGATAAAGAATGTTGATTATTACACTCTGAACTAGTTAAAACCTCGAGCTGCAGAAGAGTTCTTCAGAATTGGTTTGGCAACCGCTGTGTCAACTCGTGACACACCACCTGTCTTGTCAATTCTCCGGCCGTAACTCCAAATAAACCGTCAGTGTTTGCCATCAAAGCTCCAGCTCTCCTCGTGCCTCTCTGAGTCCTGTTTCCAATTGCTTCAGAAGTTTCCCCCACAGTAAATAATATCTCTTTATGTGTCATTGTAACCTACATATGTGCGTGTACTTGTGGGTGTGCCCACGCTGGTCGTGTCAGGAAGTGTCCTCTGGGAATGAGGCTCCATTATGTTGTCTGTTACTGTAGGGGAGAAGAGGAGGAGGAGGAGGATTAGGTCGTGGTTCTCCTGACAGACACGATGATTGCCGAGGCAGAAACATCAGCCATGACGTAAGTTCTCCTTCCCCACGGTCTTTTTATATTCACAAGTTATCACTTTTAGACTGAGGGTATCTATGACAACAGGACTGCTGATACCGTGTGTGTGTGTGTGTGTGTGTGTGTGTGTGTGTGTGTGTGTGTGTGTGTGTGTGTGTGTGTGTGTGTGTGTGTGTGTGTGTGTGTGTGTGTGTGTGTGTGTGTGTGTGTGTGTGTGTGTGTGTGTGTGTGTGTGTGTGTGTGTGTGTGTGTGTGTGTGTGTGTGTGTGTGTGTGTGTGTGTGTGTGTGTGTGTGTGTGTGTGTGTGTGTGTGTGTGTGTGTGTGTGTGTGTGTGTGTGTGTGTGTGTGTGTGTGTGTGTGTGTGTGTGTGTGTGTGTGTGTGTGTGTGTGTGTGTGTGTGTGTGTGTGTGTGTGTGTGTTCTTGCCTGTGGGTGTTTGCTTTAGAAATAACAGCCTCACTCCGTCCCCTTCCTCCTCCTCTCGGTGACGCACAAAGCTGTGCTTTTTTTATGAATGAACAGCCGAGGAGGGCGAGGAAGACGAAGCCGAGCCCTTATCTGCTGCTGCTGATGCTGAGAATGATGTCACAGCACCTAAATGAACAAAAGAAACTGATTGAAATCCTTATCATTGTCACACCTTCCCCCTGCGCTCATAAGGTTTCTTTTGCAGCTCAATAACATTATTGTTTGTTTTCTGTGCATCACACGTACACACATACGGAGGAAGACACTACGTGACTCCCTGCAGCTCCATCAAATAGGCTCCCTTGCTCCTTCTGACAACGTTGCCGTGGAAACGCCTCGTCATATACAGTACCTCTCTCTTCCCCTGCGCACACACCCACACCACACGCACCGACACGAGCGGTATTCCCACCGCCCCCCCCCCTCTCTCCTGCATGTTGAATAATCCATGTGGAGGCAGCTCAGCCGCAGAAAGCCGGTCGGGAGGAACGCCATGTGGAAGTGAGGGATTCTCTGTGAGGACAATACACCGGCGGACCCACAAACATGATCTGAGAATCACAGCGATACTGCTAATGGGATTACTGCGTGATGATCGTCAGGGATCCCACGTTGTATGCTGATGCACGACAGCAAGTCAGAAGAGGCTGATTGTGATGACCATTTGTAACGGACTGGATCAAAGATTGGATTTTGCTTTTCAATAACTTTGATCCTACTTCTTCCTTTTCTTTCGCACTTCCAGCCACCCACGAAAGCAGCCTGCAAAAAGAGATGTATGCACTTTAATCTGACTCATTCCTTTTCTTCGCGAGGACAAGGGAACCACTCATCTCACCTCTTCCTGCCACTCTCTTGCCAGCGACGCTCCTGCCAGAATATTTCTCTTCGTATAAAGGAGCTAAATGCTTTTACAGGACTTCTGAAGATTCCCGAGCAGCATGTGAAGACTTCCTCCACGCACGACTACGACACATCTCTCTGACTTCTCCTGTCGCTGAAGCCATGTTCTGCTTCTGTTTCCAGAGTCCCTCTCTCAAGATGCAAGCCCTGGAGGCTGACTTGGGACCCCCGTCTTCCCCTATAGACCCCCAAGGTCAGGATTACCTCCCTGCTCAAACACAGCCTCTCTCCTCTGAGGAGCAGAGCCTGGTTCTGACCCACAAGCTGCTTCTCCCCTCGCCGCCGTGCACACCAGCTCAGGACCGGGAAGACTCTCCACTCTCTGGTAAGTCAAAAGCAATGGAGTGCTGAGACACTGAACTTACAGTATTTTGTGTTGTAAAAGCTTATCTCCAATAATTGAATGTATCCACTTTTATCATGTTATCATGCCAAATCAATTCACAGTATTTTCAGCTCCTATTGTAGAGAATCAAACCCATATCCCTCTCAACGCAAGAGCCACACTTTATATAGTACAACATACAGTATGTACATAATGTATTAGTGCTATTATTTATAGTGTCTGATTCATCATGTGTTCATTTAAAGCCTTGTCCTAGATGATGTTACTCCTCCTATCTCAGAGCTGGGTGTGTCTTTATTTGATGAGTTGAGTATATCAAGGTACGATGCTGTTACTGTTGCATCAACGCACAGTGACATGATGAATTTGTACATTTATTCAATAATGCACCAGCTTATTTATTTATTTCCATGTCTCTGTGCTGGCTAAACATTACAATTGAGTGTAGTTTTTCTTACCATAGAGATTATAACAGCTACAAATCATTTAGATGTGTGTTCACTGTTATTGTCAGACAAAAAAAAAATGTGTATACCCCAGCAAAGATGTTGAAAAAACAGTGTTCGAAATACTTTCTTCTCATTCTTATGTTTCTCTCTTTTACTCTCCATACCTTACGCCTCTATCTACCATGTCTCTCCCTCTCTTTTGTCCCGTGGATTCTCCTATATTAAGTTATTATAAATTACATTTTTAAACTCAAATGAGAAATAGTCAAAGTTATTATATATTAACAGTATATTTATATGTTCTTCTTTCCTACAGGGCACTCCCCCTCCCCTGATTCCTCAGAGTTCAGTCCTGTCCTGTACACCAGCCTGCTCTCTGAGGGGTCTTCAGGAAACGACCCCCTGCCCATCCTCCCGGGCCCTAAAACCAGCCCGCTGCTCTCTCGCTTTGCGCTGAGCGACTGCCCCGTCCCCTCCCCACGCTGCCCCAACCTCAGCCACAGCCTGCGCTACAACCTGGACCCCGATACGGCCCCTTCCCCACCGTGCTCGCAGCACATACGCATGTGAGTCAACTGTTTCCTCAAAAACTTTATTTAGGAATAATGGAGACAGGAGAGTGGGACATTGTATTTCTTTGCTGTGCTTCTTCAATGCCTTCCATTTGAGATGAAAGGTTAACATGCATGTTACGAGTTCTTTTATCATGGAACTGAATGCTTCTCGCTGTCTTCAGGACTCGCAGCAGTGTCCACTCGGAGCCACACGAGGGCTCTGTCTCCGTCTCAGCGCTCAACAGACACATTCACACTCTGAAGAAGAGGATCAGGCGCTTTGAGGAGTGCTTTGAACAGGAGAAGCGCTATAAGGTGAGGGGAGGAACAGGAAATGCTTCGTCAGCGAGATTCTTCTGTGTCATCATCTGATTGGAGTTTATTTCCTCAGAGTGTGAGGCTCAGTGTTTATGTCCTAAGCCAATAACGAGCTCTCACTGAGCCATGAGGAGGATTATTGTTATTATTATTATATTTTTGTGTGTGTGTGTATTACTGTGTGTAAATTAGTTATTGTATGTTCTCAAATGATACTGTGGCTTCTTATAACAAACATTATTAAAGGGAGAATATTTCCCTCTGCTGGTACATTGGAAAATTGTAAAAAATGTAAATATTTGACACACAGAGTCTTTATTAACTGGTTGCTGCTGCATGTTGGTGCAAAAATTATAATTCGCCCAGACCAGGGGATAAAGTAGAGTAAAGAGTTCTTGGTAGGTGATGCAGGAGACCCTGTTCTGTCTCTGAGTTGTTCTGTATTTCTTCTTTTTCTTTTAGCCTGCCCACAACGACAAGACTGCTCATCCGGAGGTGGCCCGACTGATGAAGGAGCTCATCAAGAGTCGCAAGCAGCTTAAAGGTCAGTTTTCATAACCATAAACACACACTCACACACATGAATTAATGATGAAGGACATTGATTCTGAGCTTTGCTTGAGTCAAAGAGTCAGTCCAACAACATAATACATATTCCATTACATTCAAATATCTCAACACTTATTTTTTTGTAATGGGTCACAAAATAAAAAAGGTTTGCATGCACTTATTTTGCATTGTAATTGTGTAAGCTTATTTTGAAAAGTCAAATATGTCTGGTTGAGTAGAAGTACAAATAAGTTTACAACATTTTCATTATGACTGTACTTGAATAAATGCACTAGATTGCTATCCACCACCCAATACTTTCACCATTTCAAAATACCAGACAACCAACGTCAGATTCAAACAATTTCTGTTTTCATTTCACATTTTTCTAAACTCTCGTCCTCTTCCAGAGCTGAAGCTGAGACAATCAGAAGGGGGAGTGAAAGGTCAGGGAGACTCTAACCCATCATCTGAAACACGCAGAACCAACTCAGACCAGAGGGAGGCAGCACCGACAGGCACTGAGCTGCAGCAGCTAAACAACAACAGCAACATCAAAGCTAACGTGGAGGAAACGGTCAATACTATATCCAACAGACTGAAGGAGAGACGCAGAGAGCTGGGCCTGCCCGACAGCGTCAAGGTTAGCAGAAACACTTTCAAACACATCAATTATAATATAGGTTTGGTGATCTCATTGTCAGTGTTTCTGACCATGTATACATGTATTTATCTGTGGCTGTTTGTGCAGGAGATGTCCCATTTCCAGATGACTATGGAGAAGACCAGCCTGCAGAAGTGTTTGCTGCATTTTGAGGGTCTGCACGGACGGCCGGTGAGACTTCCCTTCACGTTTATGTCTTTTAATTAGCTGGCTCCACTTTGGTACTGTATCTCCCTTCTCATTGAATAATCGGTTTCTGTATCGTTCTCCTCCAGAGTACCAGGCAGGAGCGGACTCTGATGAAACCTTTCTACGACCGGTACCGTCTCCTGAAGCAGCTGCTGCTCTCTGCTGCTGCTGCTGCCACAGTCATACCAACCATTGTGAGTATTCAACTAATACTGAATACAAAAAAGAAAGGAATGATGGAGTCTGATACGCAACGGAAATAACCCAAACCCACTTTATGTCACTTGTGTCTACGCTATTGAAGTGTATTTTAGTCCCTTTGATAAAAGCATCAGCTAAATAAATGTTTATATATATATATATATATAAATCTGACCCTGGCACACAGAAGTGTCTCTCTGCTGCTCTCTAGTGGACAGATGTGAGAACTGCACCAAACTGTTGTTAGACCTCAGTTTTAGCTAAAGGCAAGATGGATAAAGCTGAAATATTGCAGTTTATGACTAAGTAGTATTCAATTAAATATTAAAAAGCTATTTCAGGACTAGCTCCCAAAACACTAAACAGAGTCCATGACAACGTTGATGTGTTTGCCCTGCGTTTCTGTGTTCACAACGACAGAATAGTGATTCCTCTTTGTTCACGTAGGAGGAAGAGGAGGGCTCTGATGAAGATCATCCCAAACAGCGTAGCCCAAGGCTGCAGCCCCTCCGACTGAAGCCCCCCCGCTGTGTGTCTTCAGACGACTCGCTGCACCTTCCTTCTTTAGAAACGTCTGAAACGCCTCTCGTGTCCCCGCTGGAGGAGGTGAAGTGTTTCCAGCCACAGATCGTCACCATGGCAACACTACATGAAGCTTCCAGGTGTGTGTGTGTGTGTGTGTGTGTGTGTGTGTGTGTGTGTGTGTGTGTGTGTGTGTGTGTGTGTGTGTGTGTGTGTGTGTGTGTGTGTGTGTGTGTGTGTGTGTGTGTGTGTGTGTGTGTGTGTGTGTGTGTGTGTGTGTGTGTGTGTGTGTGTGTGTGTGTGTGTGTGTGTGTGTGTGTGTGTGTGTGTGTGGTGTGTGTGTGTGTGTGTGTGTGTGTGTGTGTGTGTGTGTGTGTGTGTGTGTGTGTGTGTGTGTGTGTGTGTGTGTGTGTGTGTGTGTGTGTGTGTGTGTGTGTGTGTGTGTGTGTGTGTGTGTGTGTGTGTCCATTTAAATAGGTTTAGGCATATATTGATTGATCTATCCTATCTATCGTGACCAGGATAATCATCTTAAATTGTAATGTCGTCCCATGCCTTATTGCAGGAAGTTTGTTTTCAAAGAAGAGCTTGTTTCTTGCTTGAAACTATGAGTTATCATCTTAACTTTAAATGCACACATTTCTCGACGATCTAAAAGAACTAAGACATTATTTTCTGCTCTCTCACAGACCAGAATTACTGGATCACCTCAGGACGGCGCGGTCAGAGAGGCACCGACTTCACCGAGCGCTCCGAGAGTTTGAGGAGAACTTCCACACACAGACTGGCAGGTAAAGGTTACACACTCACACACTCACACTCACACTCAGACTTAGACTCACACGCACAATCACACTCACACACACAATCACAGACAAAAACTACTTGGCTTTTGAATTTTATTTTCTCTTTTAATAAACTTGAAACATTTGGTTTTCAACAATGCCTTGTGAAAAACAAAGAAAAAACATCCACAAAAGAAATCCCATCTTATGGTACGACAGTGTAATGCACGCACGTTAATACCGCACTGAGAGCTCGGGAAAGAGAGGAAGAGATAGACGTTTGCTCTGTTCACGTCCTTTGTACTGTACATGTTAGTCCTCCAAAGTAAATACAGTAAGATTACAATACACACTGTACAAAGCTATCTGAGTAAGGCAACATAGGGACTATCAACCAGTTATGGAAGCTGCTGCAGTTTGTTGGAAACTACCGAAGTTTTGCCTTGTGTTTGCATCTTTTTTTCTTTGTGTTTCGCTAACAGGTTCTGTCAGAAGGAGGACCGGGGGCCAATGGCGGAGGAGTACTGCCAGTATAAGAGCCTCAAAGCTAAGCTCCGCCTCCTGGAGGCCCTGCTCAGTAAACGGGACTCAACCAAGAGCAGCTGAGTGACTCACAGTGGGACTTTATCAGACTCAATCCTTTATGAAAATCAGGTTCTGAATCTTGTGGTTCTGGTCTTGTTTTATGTCATTTTCTGTTGACGCACTTTACATGAAGAAAAACTGAGGAAATTGGTGACCATCTTAATGAAATACAGTATGACTGCGTTTTTTTTTTGTCATTATGACACATCTTAATATAAACCTGATGTAGCAAGTGTATTTAATGTAGCACTAATTTATGTCAGGGGTGACGGCTGTAACAACTTGGTGTTTGTTACATACAAGTTATTTTATTCACGCACATTATGCCACTTTGTAACTTGCTTTCCTTCTTGCAAAAAACACTCCTTCAGGACAGCTTTGCCCAAAGCGGAAACTGCATTTTCTTAAAAAAAAGTGCTTTCTTGGCAAACAGTGTGTAAGCTTAAATGCAATTAATGAGACAATCCTGTCGTGTTTGTACATGTCAGTTCTTCAATCCTACATTGTGCTATGATATGCATTAATATTTTTATAATTGTGACCATTGAATTGACATGTTCACCTTGGAAAATATGTGAACGTTGGTGAAGCTTGGCATTGTAGTGCAATTTCTCTCTGCTGTCAGATTGGTGTTTACCCCCCCACTTTGCTTGTATGAAGTTATTTCCCTCTAAATGCAGTTGTTGACAATGATCAGAGCTTTTGACATTGTGCACTTCTGGTTTATATAATTTTCTATATATGAATGTATCAATAAAAATAAATATTTTTTCACATTTATTCTGCTCAACACAGTTTATGGTTCTACTTTCTTTCTTTTCACAGACTACATTTAAATCAAAGCGGCTGTAGCAGAGCTGGTTGCTATGGTAGAGGTACTGACAGCTTTCATCCTCGTGCTGCACAGAGCTGCATCATGCTTTTTTTTCATTTTAGAGGCTGTTGCATTAGTTCTGTTAAGATTCCACAGCAGTTTCTCGTCTGGGTTTTAATACCTTTGGTATAAAGAAAGATGACTATCGATGCTGCAGCCCTAGAAAATTGTCGTTCCAGTCTTTGCCACTAGTAGAAGGTAAAAAAGAATAGTCTGAAATGCTCTACTGAAAAATGAGAAGAAAACATTTCTGAATCGAAAAACAGTCAAAGGAAACGACTAAATGCTCGTCCACTGTCTGTGTGGACGCGACCCTCAGGATAACAATACAACAAGGCATTAACAAAATAAGTGTATAAAGTAACAACAGCAAATTGAATAGGAGCAGACCGTTGTTAGTACAGTTAAAGGGTTTCAGTGTTGACTTGCAGGATGGATGAGCTGTGTTTGTGTCCCAGGTTTCTATGACTCAGTTATGCGTGATATCTTAGCTTATGCTTTTAACATTTAGGGTAACCCTTTTCAGATGAGGAGACAGGTGTCAGAGTGTGTACCTTCCTCTTTTTTTTTTATCGTCCACTCTTTGGGATGATGTTCTTTTCAGAGTACAGAGCGGTGTCAGATATGCTGCATGTCTGGGAGCCTACTTAATCTGCTGCTTCATGCATGTGTTGGTCTGCTTGGTCAGTACATGTGGTCTTCCTGTGTGTTTAGAGGTCAGTCCTTCCTCCTCTACATCCTTAGCGTCCCACACTGATGTTGCAGGTCTTGCAGCTGGGGTCCTTCTTGGCGTTTACCGTGGACATGCTCATCAGCTGGTGCCCGTTGATCTCCGCCACCGAGCCTATCGCCAGGTCGACGGGCTCCGTGTAGATCACCTCCAGGATCACGTCCTGGGCGTGATGGAACACCAGAGTCCCGTCTTCTCCCTGCTTGCAGGTGAGGAAACTGTTATTGGAGAGGTCCAGCGCAGGAAGCCTCCCCTTACAGAAGTCGTCCCCCGCGGAGCCCTTTGGCGCCAGGACCAGGATGACGAAGTGGTACGCCGTGTACATGCAGTAGAAGTCTCCAAAGTACAGGTTGGTGTCGAGGTTGAAGAGCGAGTCGGCCTTCACCTCGAAGCGCTGGCGGCCGTAGGGGGAGTCCTGCGGGGGCTTGCCGGTGTTGAACTCTGTGTTGCAGCTGAAGAAAACCCCCTCCAGTTTGCCGCTGATGGGGGAGCCGTGGCTGCCGCTGTTGTCTTTCACCGCCTGCAGCATCATGTTCCCCTGATCCTCCCTGGAGGGTAGAGGAAAAAGGAAATTGGTTGTGAACAAAAACATGTGAATGGTAAAGAGCAGCACATTGTTTTGATCTGAGCTGATTAAATGTGTCAGATGCAGCCGGAGGATCTCTAGTTTCAATATATCTGGATCTGTAATGATCTTAGCCCAGTTTGTCTGATAGAAAGTGACCAAAATAATTGTCTTCGTTATATTTCAGTGTTTGCTTACACTTCGTGTGTGTTTTTGTATTTGATTACATATGTTGCATTGTTGGAGGAGCTCGGATCATAAGAATTTCATTGCCATTTCTACACTGTAGCTTAAGTGCATATGACAATAAAACCTGAATTTTAAAAGCATGCTCAACTGAAAAACTGCTTGGAAACAAAAGCATCTTTCAGAAACAAAACCACAAATAAACATTCAAGATTGATGAGGGCTTGTGTTGTAGCTGCATGGCTTCGAGCACAGAGTAAATCTGTGCGCCTATTATGAATTGTAATTACAGTGCTATCACTTCAGAGGCTGCAATTACATCCATAATTAATGCTTTGTTGAGGGTATTATGGAATTAGTCATCTCCCACCCTGGGTCACTGGAGCAGAAGCTTCATCGAGGGGTAGAGACAGTACTGCTGCCGCCCACATGGTGGTGCAGTTTACCAGACGCATGTTAAATACACTGATCAGAGGCAACAAAAGAGAGGGCTTTCCAGATGACGTCGTGTTGTAAAGCCCCAGCAAATACGTCATACAAAAGTCTTAGTGCAGCATGTCACAAAGACTATCATAGGTTAGTATGTCATTGTGTATATAGCATGACATAAAACAAGCATCGACATATAGTATTTACAAATTTGTATTCAAAGTAATAGTATAGTATGTCATACAATTGAAATGTATAGTATGATAATACAATGTTACAAAAAAAGGCATCAAATTATAGTTTGTATCACATATTATATAAAAAGAAAGTTGCACTGTGGCCATAATTGTCAGTAGATGACTGCCGATTTTTATTCCATATTTTATTCCATTCCATTGTAATGTAAATACTGTATTTTTTATTATTTTAAATATTTTTCTAGTTCTCTACCTGTGTTTTAAATTCTTGTTTTACTTTTAAGTATGCACCACGAAGACACCCAAGTCAAATTCCTCGTACGTGTAAACCTACCTGGTAATAAACCTGTTTCTGATTCTGATGCAAACACATTAGCTCAAAATAGTGTGGGGATCCTGCTGTGTGCAGAGATACAGGTGCTGCAGTGATATACATTGTAGTACTGAGTGCTAGGATGGATGCATTACATTGCAATGTTCTCATTATCAATGGTGTTTTATTACCATCACACAAGTCTTATCACAGCAGTATGTTAACACTAAATGCCCTGCAGCTTTAGCTTAAAGGTCATTTTAGCATCACATAACATCTCAAGTCTCTATAGGTCTATAAAGCCACCAGATGCTAAAGCTGTGAATTTAATGTGATGTTCAAGTTACTGGAAGTAGGACATACAGTATCTATTGTCAAAAATAGCATACAAATAGCAAGAATAAGTTGAAATGCTAAGTGTTAAATAAACTGTACATTACCATAATGCAACAAACTAAAAGAGAAAGGAAAGGAAGGAAAGCTAGCCGCACATACAATGTGTTAACACAGTGTTTGGGGCTTCTTTAATAACAGTCTCTGACTCAACTATATTTGAACTACAAAATTATTTATGAAAATGCAAGTACAGCAGCTTACCTGGCGTGGTCGAAGTACTCTTTATTCTGGTTCCTGTAGAAGACAGACAGAGGCAGCATCCGGCCGGCGATGACCTCTGCTTTCGCCAGCAGCTGGTTTAGGTGCACTGTGGAATAATCTGGAAAACAGACGCATCACAGATCAGAGTTAAACTGAATAAGCTGTCATCAGGAGGATCGGAAACCAGTGTTAGTCGGAAATTAGTAGAAATGTAATTATTTAATTAGAAGGAACAAGAGTGACTGTGTGCACTGGATAGGATGGAACATGAACTGCGCTTCTTCATCTTTATAGCTTGGAATGACTCAGCATTTCAGTCCTACGGTGTCCTTATACGCTCCAGCATGAAAGAAGGATTGCCAAATGGGTGTGGATTTATTCCAAAGTATATAATAAAGTTTCATTGTAATAAAGATTTTTTCCCCTGTTCTGATTTTCCAACAAGCACTTAAACACACCAATGGAAAACGATAACATTCCCCACTTTCATGAAACGCTACAGAACCTTGAACAAAAATGATAGAAGGCTATTAAGAGGATTACAAAGCAGATTGCTCAAAAGTATTCAGACATATTTTTAGACCTCCCTTTTTCTTTAGTCAAGCCTCGCATCACTATCACTACTACAGAAGCTTCTAATGCTCCCAGGGCCGTCCCTGGCCAACATGAGGCCCCACGCAAAGTTATATGATGAGGCCCTCTGTTTCGCGAGCGTCAACGGGACGGGGACGGGGGCTAGTGGAGCCTCGCAGCGGCGAAACCGTGCCGCACCACACTAATTGCGCCGCATAGGTGCGCCGCATTTTCGGCTCAGTTGAGGCACCCTCCGCAAGATGAGGCCCCCTCCAAGGTGAGACCCCACGCAGTCTGCATGATCGGCCTGGATGCTCCTCATCCCTTTCGCAGCTACCCCCCCCCCATTACCATCATCTCCTCCCCCTTCTCCCCTCCCCCACCCAAAGCCAGGTGGCAGCCAGCGATGTTGAACTTGTTGACCTCTGCATCCGAAGATATACAGCACAGCTCCCCTCCTTCCTTTAATCCTTCTTTTCCACTCGCCCTCCCCTTCCCCTCCTCCACCCCCTCCATCCATCTTCCCCTCCACTCAGTAAAGATTAGCCTCCATTTAATATTCTCCCTCATATTGTGCCCTATCCTATTCTGCTCTGTACTTCAGCTCAAACAACATCAAAGGCTGCTCAGATGTCACACATCTTGAGAAGCGAGTACTCGTGGTACAGTAAGCTACGCGTTACTCACCGCCGGTGCAGAACTCCACGATCTCGCTCCACTCGGAGATGGCGTAGTCCCCGTCGGTCTGTTTGGACGCGGTCTGGACAGCCACGGTGTATTCTGTGCGGGGGCTCAGGAACCAGTGGCCCCGCACCGTCATGGGCAGGGGGACGGCTTTGGCTACCAGCTTGGTGGGAACATCCTGGAGGGAGGAATGGAAAAAGGAGGAGAATGATGACAGGAGGAAACTCCAGTTATGGTTTCCTTAAAGGTCCACTATTATACTGTTTTTCATCAATATATTATAGGTCCCAGATGTATAAAACACATCTCTCTGAAGTGTTTGGCTCCAAATACCAAACAGATCATTGCAGCATCCCATAATCCCCTCTGTTTCAGCCCGGTTTCAAAAGTGCTGATTCTCTGTCTGTTACTTAGAGATATTTGGTTAAAAAGAACACAATGGTGCTCTAGGAGGAGATTCAGGTGATAAGGTGGGGGGGGGGGTTACCTTGGTTGGTTAATGGCTAATGGTTACACAAGCCAAAAAATCCTTATGACATCACAAAGTGGCCAAAATCTGATCAGCACATTTTCAGACAGGTTTTTTTATATAAATGGATCAGGACGAAAAGAGAGAGAATCTTTTTTCCTGA